CTAATTTAACAAAATACTCCACAACCGGCGGTATGGGAGCTTCTTCGAACAGCCAAAGAAACCGCTTACGGCCGTCGTTCTCGAGCTTGCAAATGAATTTTGTTATTTGAATTTAATTTTGAGGACCAATTAATACAGTGTGTTATATTAAACCTATATAATTAGAAACTTTTAAAAGTAGAAAAACTTACCTTTTCAGATTTCGGAATGGTACGGGCGAGTTGTATTTAACCTTCCACCGTGGGTATTTCTGCCACCGTTTAATTTATAATCCTTGCTTCAGTTCTTTGACAACATTTTGTACATGCATACATACAAATTACAATATTACATATTAATCTAGAAATTTAAAACTGTGACAGACAAAACACATATTGATTTAGGAAATACAGAACATATTGATCTCTTATTCTTTACGCTTTTTGTTTTATCAGAGCATATTTATAGCTTCAAAATCTATTTATCAGAAAAGACACACATCATTGAAGACAAGAAGATATGTAAAACGGATTTAAAAACAAAGCATCTGAAACTCAATAGTAAAAAATTTGTTTTGAAAGATGAAACGAACATGGTAGAGTACAAGAATTTATTAATGGTAACGAAACTAGATTAATTAAACCATAAGTCTTCTTACCTTCTTAGATGATGCCTTTATGTTTGTTTCTCTCGGACTCGGTTTTAATGAGAAACATAGAACGATAAAAATTTGAGTGAAGAACACAATTAAGAGATCTAGAGAAGATAAACAGAGAGTATTCGACGACATTTGTAAAAGAAATAACTGAGTAAGAGGATTTCTGATTATTATTATTTTTCGAGAAAGAGTATTTCTGATTTCTGTTCGAGATAAGGAGTTTTTACAGAAGTCATTATCTGTATAAAACACAGATTAAATTACAACGGTCGAAAAATATTACCGTTTTACAACGTTCATATTTATCTAATCTCGAGTCAAATCAAAACTTTTAAACAATACGAGGGATTTTAGTATTGTTTAAAAGAG